GTGGGTTATTTACTTTTTTGGTGTAGTTTTTGAGTGCTTTATATAGTCTTCTTTAGTTGATTATGAAATAGGCGAGCTATGTGTAAAGAAGACAATGAAATTCATTGAAGTGTCTCCTTGCTTGAAAAGACAGAGTTTGATATTACCTTGGGGTAGGACATTGTCTCCCAAAAGCCCTATTAGAATGAATATCATAGCTAAGAGGCATGACCTCAAACCATTACCATAGCCAGGCATGGTGGTGCACACCTATAATCCCAGCAACTTGAGAGGCTGAGGCAGGAGAATTTTGAGACTAGCCTCAGCAATTTAGCCAGACATTCAGCTAGTGAAATTCTGTCCCAAAATAAAACAAATAGGACTGGGAATGTAGATCAGTGGTAAAGGGCTCCTGGGTTAAACCCTCAGTACTCCCAGAAATTATCATGTATGAACTCCGTAATCAAGCATATTCATCAGATGAGTCCAACAAATATTGGTGTTTTATGGGAATAAGATAGTAAGCAGTTTTGATGACTTCAAAGAACACAGATGTGAATTGAGGAGGACAAATACAGAGTCCTTCCTTCATGATCAGTCAGTTCCAGGAGGCCAGAGGACAGACTCAAAGGTAGGGGGAAGGGCAGGTCAAGCAAAGGAGAAAACATTGAATAAGCAACTATCATGGATGCAGACTATAGTAAGTATTTTGACATGCATTATCTCATTTAATCACCCAACCATAATGTCCTAGTCTATTCCTGGTGCTATAACAAAATATTCAAGGATGGGTAATTCATAAATAGCAGCAATTTATTGCTTGCAGTTTTGAAGGCTGGGAAATCCAAGATCAACGCACTGCCATGTTGGTGTCTGGTGAGAGCTTTCAAGCCTTCTTTTCTGCCTCCAAGATGGCATCTTGGATGTTGCTTCTTCTGGAGGTCATGAATACTGTGTCCTCACATGTCAGGAGGATCAGAAGGGCAAAAAAGGAAACAGCTGCTCCCTTAAACCTCCCTTATAAGAGCACTAATCTATTTGTGAGGGTGGAGCTCTCAAGACTTAATCACCATCCAAAAGGCCTGTTCTCTTAATACCATTATCTTGGGGTTTAGTTTCAACATATGAATTCTGTTTGTTTAGTTTTTTTGCATGGTGCTGGGGATTGAACCCAGTGCCTCATGCATGCTAGGCAAATGCTTTACCACTGAGCCACAACCCCAGGTCTCAACATGTGAATTTTGGAGAGACATATACATTTAAACCATAGCACATAATAAGGTAGGTACCATTACTATGCTCATTTTATAGATGAAGAAATAGCCTTGGAGAGGCTAAGCAACTTGCCTAAGGTCACACAACTAATGAATGGGATTGAGGGGCAGAAATCAGTTATAAAAATCTGAATTTTTTAATACACTACATTGTTCATATAAACCCACAGTATAGAGAGGTGGACAAATTAACTGAGCAGCAGTAACTGGTGGCGATGACATAGGACACTCTGCAGAACTGAATAGCTTGTGATAGTGCCGATGAGGGGGACAAGTCCACAAATCGGTTTCATGTAGGTCATCTATCTCATCTCCATCCCCCCAAAAAACACTAAATCCTACCCCTGCTCTCAGGATTGTCCCTCACCATCCTGGAGAGTGAAAGACTGAGTCCTGTCCTTGACTATAGCCCCAAGCCCCAAGGGCAACAATGCACCTCAGCCTGCAGCCTTAGAGCAGGGAGTGTGACTAGTTTCCTGGGCTTTCAGAGACAGAGTATCATTTTCCTGAACAAGAGACAGCACAGAGTTCTGTTGCAGCTATTTATTTATTTGACAAACAGTTACAGGGTGCCACCTATGTGCCAGGCACGGTGCTAGGTGCTATCATTCCAGTGATCTTAAAGTTGGATAGATGGAGACGAATAGGAAAGCTGGTCATTTGAACATGATATTGTGATATATAGGAGTCTGCAAGGGGTCCAAAGTGAGAAATCAAAGTTGTACTCCTTGCCTCATGGGGCTTGATTTCAGGGATACAGTGGTGTTCAACCTTCTCTTAAGCACAGCAGGTCCAGAGAATGACATGACAATACAGAAGTGCTCTCAATGGTTTTCAAGAGTAACAGGCCATGAAAGGTACCACCCATAGCTGGCACAAGAGGGCAAGGTCACTGTGGGAAAAAGTACCTATGAGGAAAGAGGAGATCTTAGATCTGGGACTAGGAAAATTTATACAATTTAGTTAAGTGGAGAGAAGTTAGGTTTAAAAATGATTCTCCCAAGTGTTCAGCTCTTTAAATGTTGCCTCAAATAAATACCTTCAATTTACTGCTGCTGTGCTTTAATTTGTATCACTTACTTGTATGTAAATGCACATACATGTGTGTGTTTTGCAGTGTTGGGGATTAAAATCAGGGCCTTGTGTGTGTTAAGCAAGTGCTCTACCACTGAGGCACACCCCAGGCTACTTTTGGGGCTCCCCCCCTTATATGCACATTTTGAAAACTAGGTAAGCTGGGGAAAAGGATAATAGGAAAAAGTAGAATAGATCAGTGCTTTAACCCAGAGACATACAATAGAACTTTCTGCAATGATTGAAAATTCTATTCTGAGATGATCAATACAGTTGCTACTAGCCATATGTGACTCTGCAACAGAAGTATGGCCAGTGTGACGGAGGAACTGAAATTTTAACTTCACTTAAAACATGGTTAGTAGCTACTGTATAGGAAAACACTGCTGTCACCACTTAGCTATAGCCCATAGAGACCCTAAGTAAAGGTGTGGTACAATTAAATATGAAGTCTTCTATTAATCTAGATATGGAGGGTACTTATTTGGGTATGCATGTGCTTGTTCAATTAAGGGTCAGAGCACCAAATTTCCTAAAAATGAGGGACAGAAGAGCAAAAGGAGCAAGGGGTGATTCCTGACTTGCACAGTACTTTCATGCATAGTACCTCATTCAATCCCATAACAGCCCTGAAATGGGTAGGGAAGAGACTATCATTCCCACAGGATCCAATGAATCTAGGGGATAACAAGGGCCTATAGAAGATAATGGTGGAGCCTAGGGGCTAAGTATTTCTCTTCCTGATTGGACACTTTCCAGGGAACAGTGAAGGAAGAATGATCTCATGTTACCTATGCCCACTGCTTACAGTCTGGGTCTCCCTGAATAAGAGAGAGTCTTTGCTTCATATTCCCTTTTTCTACCTGATTGTGGTTAATGGGATCATGAACCATTACCAAGAACTGTATCATATTCCCTTCCCTCTTCCTTGATTTAGGCAACAGGGATGCATTTGAAAACTTCAGTCATATATTCAAAATTACACATTGAGCACCTATCATATCCCAGGCACTGTTCTGGGACACAACCATAAACAAAATAAAGATCTCTTTTGTGGCACTGAAATTCTGGTAGAGGCAGACTAATAATAAATAATGTATATATTGGATTTTTGTAATGTTCTATAATAATACACCATGGTTTCTCATGTCTTTTTATGACACACATAAACACTGTCCAATGTACCTTTTGTGCAAAACTGGACTTGCACTTCAAGCAAACTGCCTGGCTTGCTGAAAGGTGAAAACACCTTTTGAATTAGTCTTTTAACATGTGTTGAGTGCCACCTATGTGCAGAGTGCGATATTGGGGACTTTGGAGAGATGCAACTGACTGAGAGGACAGGGTCCTATCTTAGGGGATTCCCAGTCTGATGCAAGAGGCAGCCCTTTCCTTGGGAGCTTCCAGACTGCAGAAGGAGCTTACAGTGTAGTCTGGAGAGGCAAACTTCAGGACCCACTTCAAAAGGGGAATCCCAAGTATATGCACAACCAATTCAGCCTAGACTGTGTGGAATTGGGTAAACTAACCCCTCTTATGATGATGATGGGGAACTAGATAGGGGACACCTTCAGGGAACAAGAAAAGGGACACTGTAGGAGCTGTCCCATGTCCCAAGAGTGAGGAAGAAAGGAAAGACAGCCTCTACTGGATTATTGTTACCTCTGGAAGACTCTGGATGAGATGGGATTTGCGGGACTGCTGGCAAAAATGAAGAGCTAATGGGCAGAGTGAGGTGCAGGTATCCCAGGTAGAGGGTACCTCCTGGGTGATGGTAGGAGAAATGAGGGTGCTGGGTGCAACCCTTGGCAATCACCCCAATTCAAATTCAATTGAAGATGAAGAAGAGAGAGGACCAAAATTCTGGGGTGGGGGTCGGTTTTTGACCAAACCCTTGGAGATGCATAGTGGCAAGAGAAATGACCATGGTCAGGGTCTGAGGTGCAGGGTCTAAGTGGGGGCAGTCCGGAAGGGGTCCTACCCTGAGTGCCCAAGTTTCCTGACAGCTGTTAAGGAAGCGAGGTGAGAAAGGGTTAAGTGTGCCCCTCCACCGCCCTAAATGCTTCCTGTATTTGAAATCCTTTAGGTCTTTGCAAACTCTCTGGCCCCTGGCCAGGCTGGCATTGTCCGGGGAGCGGTTGTGGGTTGTCCGAGAGCTCAGTCGCTCAGTCTTTGTTATGGGGCCACCTCGGGGTTCCCTCTTGCACCCGGCCTGAGGCTGCAGAGTGCGTGCCTGGAGGGGGGCGGTGCGGGAGGCTCGCTTCTCTCCCTCTTCCTGGCCCCCCCTCCAGTCCTCCCGATGACCACATGACCAAGTGGGCTCGCGGCCAAGCCACAAGCTACAAAATGCAGCCCCTGGAGTGAGCGGGGAGCATTCTCGCTGGCAGCCTGGGCCAACAGCAGTACAGCCGCGGCCGAGCAAAGCCAGCCACTTGGAAACAGATCGCTGCAGAGCCCGGCTTCGCGGTGCTGCCCCACGGCGGCAGAGAGAGGCTGCGGGAGAGCCGGCGCGGCGGCTGCAGACTGCTGCGCACTCACTCACGCGGCCCGGGAGCCCCGCGAGCCCCGCTCCGGCACGCGCCAGCCGCGGCTTGCGCCTTCCTGTGCCTCAGGGCTCCCAGCTTCTCCCCCTTCACGCCGGCTCTTCAGGGCAGCGGCGGCTCGAAGAGCAGCATGAATCTGCGGCTCTGCGTGCAGGCGCTGCTGCTGCTCTGGCTCTCCTTGACTGCAGTGTATGGAGGTGAGTGCGCGCCCTCCCGCTCACCCGCTCTTCCTTTTGCTTTACCCCGCTACAGCCGGCGCGCTCCCCTCCCTCCGCCCCACTCGCGCTCTCTCGGCCTCCCAGAGAGCCCGGCGCGAGCCATGCAGGAGCAGCCACGCGCTGGCTGCGCCGAGCGGCAGATTGACAGGGCGTCTACAGCCAGGGGCAGCGGCCGCGGGGACCGGTTCCTGGGGGGTGAGGGTTCCGAATGGCCTCGAGCATCACCAATCTGGAGCCTTGTCCCTTCTGACTGCCCCTCTCAATCCCGAGAAGCTCAGGGCCCCAGGCGTGCGCCTCGTGTCCCGTACCCTGCACCCCACGTGGTGGGGGCATGAGGGCCTGCCCAGCTCTCCGCGTGGGTCAGAGGAGGGAACTGACCTGAGGTAGGTGGGCTGGTCTCCCGCGTTGAAGGTCTTCTGGCTTCTGGAGGTTAGGGGCCGCAGGCCACTGGGGATGATGTGCCAACATGCCGACGTGACACTTGTTGCATAGGCAAGAGCTTGGGGCGGGGGCGGGGGCGGGGGCGGCGGCGGCGTGGATCCCAGCTATTGCTACTTTCAGCCTACAAGTGAACAGAGGTGGCCTCCCCCAGACTGCCCCCGCCGGTCTTCTCCATTACTCCAAGGTCCTCTCTGGTCTCCTCCGGGCTCCCCGGCTCCTACACAGGACGCCTTCCCCACAGCCTCCATGCTACTTCCATATCCTGGCTTCCAGCCTCCACTTTTTCCCAGGCATGTGCATGCTTCTCCTTCACCCCTGTGTCTCCAAGCACCAAACCAGGAAACAGGCACTGACTTGGCATCTCCATGCAGGTCTGGGGGCGGGCGTTCTTTTGCCCTTACCTGTATCACACCCCTACTTGGTAATACTTGGCACTGGCTTCCCTTGCCTGCCCCAAACCTGGTCCCTATCCATGCCTCTGCAGCTCCTGCCCATGTTGCCTGTCCTTTGTGCGTCAGTGTCTCCCTGGGCTGCCAGCTCTCACCTCCAACTGCCACAGTCCTGTGATCTGGCTGTCACTGCTGCCTGCCTGGCACCAGAAGGAGAAGGCCAAGACTAGGTGGATTGATGCCAGTGCCAAGGCTGGCGTCACAAGAAAATGAGGTTGGAGGGAAGGAGAGGGCAAAGGCGGCAAGTTTCCTAGAGGAAGAACATAGGGCTGGACTTGATTCCAAACCCTCCAATACAAGGATGGCTTACAGCCCAGGAGCCTCTGGGGGTCCAGCCAACTCTGCCGACCTCTTTATATAGGCAACCTCCTTTCTCTGCTCTTGTTCTTTGGCACTGCCCTGGTCCCAGGAGCACTGCTGAGCTTCTTAGGAGGATGCATTGGTTGGGTGTGGCACCTCCTGACTCCAGCTGGATGTCCAGTGATCTCCCTCTTTAAGACTCCAGCACTTGGACTGGGGTTGTGGCTCAGTGGTAGAATGCTTGCCTAGCATATGTGAGGCACTGGGTTTGATTCTCAGCACCACATATAAGCAATTAAATAAAGGTCCATCAATAACTAATAAAAATATTTTAAAAAGACTCCAGCACTGAGTCAGTCACCTCCTTGGGAAGAAGAGAGTAATCTTTCTTCTCAGAAACTCCTGTCAGGCAGGCAATGGTTGGAAGGGAACAAATAAAGACACATCACAGGGGCCCACCTCCCAGGAGCTATCATCCAGTAGAGTTGGCAAGACAAGGAACCACAGGCAAATGGTCCATGGCATTGCCTTCAGAGAAAAAGAAGAGGTGCAGAAAGGGTGTCCTAGAGGAAGCTGAGGTTTTGGGATCAGCACACTCAATGCTCCCTTTGAAGCAACAGGGAGACCCTTGGCCAACAGAAACCACTTGAGCCTATGAGGAGTCTGGCTATTGTGGCAGTACTGGTGATGGGAAGAGCTGGTTTCAAAGGACGAGAAGTTGGTCATGCTGCCAGAACACTGTGTGCTTCTGGCCCAGACCCTGCCACTTCTTGTTTTATTTCTCCCTTTTTCATATGTCATCTGCCTACCCTGATTTGGGGACATTGTTGCCCTCATATTTTGCTTAAGCCTAGCACTGGAAACTTCCAAAGCTCCCGCTGCTTTTCCACCATTTGACTTATCCTGGAGCCAAGGAGGGTAGGTGGCTACTAGCCAAGGGTCTAAGTATACATGCCCCACTCCTCCTGCTTTCTGTCCTGCCCTAGAAACAGGGACCCCAGAACTATCTTGTCCTTGGCCCAGATTTACATGCACTCTCTTCAGCTAGAGTCCCCAGTAAAACTTCCAGGCCTGAAAACTATTCTTTCTCCTCTCACTCCACATTCTCTCCTGACATGGGATGTTCACCCCCACCCCTAAATCCCTTCTCCCACTCAACAACACTCCACCACTGCCTTCTGACCTGGGATACACTTTGCTCTTCTGAGTCTGAGAGCAAAGACCAAGTGTCCCTTGGTCTTTGAGTACCTCCCTTTCTCCCCTCTGGCTTCCCCTTTCCAACCCCTGCTCAAAATATGCAGTCAGTGGCAGTGTGAGGACAGCCTACTGAATTCCCCCCAGTGGGGGGACATCTCCACTCCATTCCCAATCCTAAGCACTAAGTGCCCATGGAACCTGAGCCAGGCCTCTCAGAAGCAGAGGACTAATACAGGTCAAGTGGAGGGCCAGGCTGCCAGAGCCTGGTGTGTCCAGGACTTCAGAGCTGGCACGAGGAGATAGCACAGGGTCCTGGAGAAAGCGACTGGGGTGAGAGGGTGGGCAGACAAAGGAAAGTTGCCTCATCTCAGAGACAGACACAGTGCTACAGAGCAGCAGAGGCAGGGGGTACATTGCCAGCAGGGTCCCTACCAGAGCATGAGTGTAAGCTTTAAAGCAATCACAAGACAGGCCAAACCACCAGAGGGAAAACAGGTGCATCATTCTTGGTGAGGCTGGCAAGTTCTTGAAAAGTTGCATTTACCTCTTTGTACATTGGCAGGGTTGGAGTTCAGATGGCATAAAAATCAAATCCCATTCTCCCCTGACTGTGGTTCTCAGTGTGGAGATGCTACAGATTCATGACTCAGGGCACTTCAGAGAGCAATGGTTCTAATCCCTCTAGGTTTGAGATTCTTTGAAGGATCGCCCATCTCCCTGTAAGTAGCACATGAGTTGGAAGAAAATATTGAGGTGAACTTGGGAGGCCCCTATTTCTAAAGGGGAGTTCTTTTGTACAGACAGGATCTCTGCAGTGTTGAGAAATAATAGTCTCTAATCTGTCCCTTTGGACAGGACAAAGGTAGAGTTTCAGGTGTCAGCTTATCTGACGGTGAGCCAGACTCAGCATCAAAAGTAGGAAACAGGTGGGTGAATGGGTTTAGGGTGCAGGAGGAGCCTATAGACTTCCAGCAATGCAGAGGACAATAAGCCTCCATCCAATGGGATGCAAGAGGCCAGGGGCTTCAAGATGGCTATTCTCCAGGGCCTGGTTGATACTCAGTGAGTTCAGGGTTACTCTTCTCTGTATGCCTAGAGTCTAGACATCTTCCTGGCCACCGTCTGAGCCACCATCCCTGCTCCCCATCCTGGCTTGTGACCTCTCTTTCCATGGGACCCTTCCCAGCCCTCCCTTCATGAATGTCACAGGCACAGTCTAGGATGCTGAACATGTGAGGATGATATTCTTCCCCTTCTGGCTCTGTGCCTCTCTTCCCATGCCTGATCACCCCTAGGGTTCGGTGACCTGTGTTATTGCCCCTGCCCCCAAGTAGTTGAAGGCATGGATTTTAGAACCAAGGTTTCACTTACATTTTAAGGCCCTTAGGGTCCTTCCCTTATGCCTGGACTCGTGCTTAGCACAGTTATCACTGCCCTGAACCCTGAGTGTGTCTCTGATAATAACTACTCATCAGCATCATTCAGATCTATCCTCAGTGTGCAGAGTGAGCCTTGCGGGAACCCCAAAACTCAGGTCATAAGCTGGAACTGCTGGGATGGGAACTTAATGAAAGTCCTTCCCTCTTCTCCCTCTACCCCCAGTGCCAGCCTCTTAGGAAATGGCAAGAGGAAATCTCTAGATCAGATAGCGTAGAAGCAGCACCCCCACTCCAGCTATACCTCCTATTCCAAAATGCAAATATAATTTTCTTTTTGGTACTGAACATTGAACCCAGGGTCATTTTAACACTGAGCCACATCTCCAGACTTTTCTGTTTGTTTTTATTTTGAGATGGGGTCTTGCTAAATTGCTCAAAGCCTCCATAAGTTGTTGAGGCTGGCTTTGTACTTGTGATTCTCCTGCCTCAGCCTCTCCAGCTACTGGGAATACAGGCATATGCCACTGTGCCCAGCTAATTTTTGTTTTAATTCTCATAGGTTATGAGTTTAGGGGCTCAGTTGACACATTAACCCACCTTGATCATTAGCAGGGAAGTGTGGCTCATTAACCAAGTGACCCTAGTTAACAGTGGGCCTGGTGATTTTTGTTGGAGATAAGGAAAGGAAGGTGCAGGGTTAGAGATGAGCATGTGTGGGGTGGGCATATGTGTCTGGATGTGAGCAGGAAGAAAGAACAACAGGCCCCAGAGGCTGGGCAAAGAAGGCCCAAAGGACAAACCTTACCTGCTTTTGGCCTAAGAGGAAACTAAATGCCTGGAAACTGTGTGCAAGCAGAGGAGGACACAGGAGCCAAGGAAGGAACCAGAGCCTGGGGATGTTGGAGGTGGGGTTGGGGGATGAGGAGCAGCCTATGGGAGGCTATATGGAAACTGTGAGCTATTAGGGATTCCTGAGTGAATGGCAATGAGGCTCAAGAGACAAGATATAGCTGAAGGCAAATCTAATGGTGTGACGGGGAGAAAGAATGGTATTCATTATCATCAGTGGCCTGCAGACTGGCCCCATATTAGGCATTTCACAAGCACCCTGCCCATCTGCCTCTTCCCAGCACCATCTCATCTCATCACACAGCCTGACTCTGGTGGCCGCGCTTGACTCTGGATGCCAGCTTGGCTTCCCTGGCTTGACTTTAGGCTCTGAGAGAACTGACAAGAGTGCCTTCTCCCTCATCGTGCCCAAGTACACCCAGCACCACTTGGATTCCATCATTGGGGCTCAGATTGGCATCAGCAGACTCCTACTCTGAGCCCCATGTGTGCAGATGTCAAGTGCAGCCTGGGAGAGCAGAACAGAAACCAGTTAGGGTCAGAATGGAAGGAATTTACATCAACCCAGGATGGGAGATGTGATCTGGGAATGACAGGAGATAGGATATTGGCAGGGAGGTGCCAACTGCCTCAGCCTACTCTCCTGGTGCATACACATGCTATAGTGCATAGACATTCACTCATCCATCCATGTATCCACCCTTGTACCATGCATGCAATATTTATTAGTCTCTAAATCTGTTCACAGGCTGAGTCACAGATGGCCCAGCCACACCCATGGGGAAGTCTCAGGAGCAAATGTGAGTCTGAGATGCCTAACCACTGATGAGATGCCTATGGGTGAGGCATGGAGCTCTAGTATTCGTAAGTGGGTCACCTTGCCCATCAAAGGATGTAGGAGTACAATGACGTGATGATGTCCAGGATTTGCTTTAAAATACCATAGCCAAGAAAAAAGAAAAGGGATAACTGGAGCATATGTGACTCCATCTGGATAGCTATTGAATCTGGGTGATGGATCCATGGAGGCGGAGTCATAGTAATGGTGTCTGTTTGAAATGTCTAAAGTACACCAGTTACTGGGGCACCATGGTTACTGCCTCCTGCACCCCAGCCAAGTACAGGCCTGATGCCCCAGAGTGCACCCCCCCTCATGACTTTCCAAAGAGAAGAACTTGTTTGTGCCTGTCAAAAACATGATACAATCATCAAAAATGTATAGAATCAGCTACCTCTATGGCAAGATGTGAGTAGTGCATTCTGTTTGCCCCAGGACAGTGTGTAAATGGCAGATTTTTCATTGGGATAGAAAACAACAACAACAAAAAAGCTATGAGGAGTGCCAGCCACCTCATGGAGAAATTGTCCTCTCCTGTGGGCCTATGGTCTGTGGGGCCCTTTCTTGGCCATCTGCCATTTTCATCAGCCTTCCTAGTTAACAGCCCTTTTCCTTTCTCCAGTGCCCCTGATGCAGCCTCCTGACGGGAAGGAGCTGGAGGAAGGCAATGTTCGCTACCTGGTGCAGCCCAGGGCTTCGAGGAATGGACCCTGGCAGGGAGGCCGGAGGAAATTTCGCCGCCAGCGGCCCCGCCTCTCCCACAAGGGCCCCATGCCTTTCTGAAGCAGGTATTTACTGGATCCCCTGCTCAGTGGGCATTGCTCAATGGGAAGGGGAGGGAGAGCCTAGAAGCTAATAAGCCTGCTTCTTACCACTGGCCAAATACATCATCTAGCCCTTCCATTTTACAGAGGGGAAGACTGAGTCCCAGAGAAGGGCTTGACACTTGGGACTGATATCTGGACTTCCCAACAACTGAGTGTTACATCCCCTCTACCCTGTTGCCTGGGGTTGGGCAGGCTGACAATTGGAGAATACTGGAAGTCCCAGCAGCGCTTAACTGGGGAGAGGTGCAAAGATTGTGCCTATAGGTGTCCAGGTCTAGGAGTGAGAACGAAGGAGGCAGAGAGCAGGAAGAGAGCTGTGGATGTGCTATTCCAGAGCTTCAGGTATCAAAGGTAGCTGCAGAGAAAGCAGGGGCTAAGGCTGCCCCTGAGGCCTGGACTGTTACCATCCCTCTGTAGCTGGGACAGAGGGACATCAACTCAGAGCCTTGGGCTTTAGGTTCAGGGGTTGAAGGGGTTGAAGGCTGTCCTTTCCTTTCCTGAGGTGGGGGAGTCCTTTGACCTAGAACATGTCCATGATTTCTCTTGTTACTTTTTGTTTCTTTAGGACTGAAGGGGCCCCCAGGTGCCCACCCCCTGCGGTTCTCTCTACTCCACAGTTTGATCAGCTTCTCTGGAGCCCTCACATCCATTCAGCTGTCGTTTTGCACCTGTTCTAGCTGCTGATAGTCCCAGCTCTTCTAGCCCACCAGCTTCCCCTAATGGTGTGGTCCTGCTCCTCATTCAGATGATTCCATTTCTCTCATAAGGATCCATGTAGTCCATCTTTCTGGCCCTTCCCTGGACTGATTTTGGAGACCCAGCTTCTCCCTGGCCTGCTGTACACCCTCGTCCCTACTTTACCTATTTAATGCCCCCACCCTTCAGCTAGCTCTTCCCTCCTCAAGTCTGCCCTGGAATCTGGATGGAAACACTCTCTTCTTCAGTGGACTCCTGCAGATCCGTATTTTCTTGTCAGTCGGACGCTCACTCAGCCACCAGAGAGGAATACAAAGATGTGCAATGAGAGATTCTAGTTAGAGGGGCTGGGTGTTGGGATCCAGAGAAGGTACATTGGGGAAACTGAAATGGGGAGAAATGGTCTTCTGGTGAAGTGGGGCGAGGCACTGCAAAACAGGAATAGCCTCTTCCTCATCCCTGTGGCTTCATTCAGGAAGAAAAGAAGGAGAGGCTCTCTGAAGTACTTTGGTACTTCTGTCACCTTATTCTGTCTCCTAACACATTCTTTCTCTCTATCCTCTACAACTAGTTCAAGCTCCAGGTCACGTGGGAAGGGTGCCGGGCCTACTGTGCCTCTGTACCCTCCCAGGAGTGAATGCCAAATAGGAAGGTTGTTTTTGCCAAGAATCCCAGAATATCAGAGCTGAAAGGACCCTTGGAGATCACTTAGCTCAACCTCTTTATGCCAAAGCCTGTGAAAACAGAGTCCTGGAGTGAGGAGTGACCTGCTCAGGGTTTCTGCTGAGTCAGAATGGGGACCAGGTCTCCAGATTCCCACTTGATGATGTCCTCTTCCCTCTTAATGATGTCTTCAAAACAAATGTAGTGCCTTTTGCTGGGGTTACGGCTGGGAGTGTCTGGGAAGGGAAGGGAGAGGCAAGCTGGCTGTGAGCTGCCCCGTTGTGGGGATGGAGCTGCTCCCACCTCTCTTGCCTTCCCCTGCTGCTCCATTCCCAACCTGGGCCATATGGTTCCATAACTGGCCAGCTGCCCCTCTTCTGACAGCACTCCCATGCCTGGGGGCCTTTAACAGGGGAGCTCAGGCACTGGGATTAATGTTCAGACCCAACATTGGTTGTCAAATGCCGGAAGTAGCCTTAAATCATTGAACCCAATGGCCTCCCCTTCGTGTTGATTGGACCCTCTTTCCTAGTGGACTTCCTTGGGGAGCAGAGGGCAGAGAGTGGCAAAGAAAGGGAAGGCAAAGAAGGAGAGATGGGAGGATGTACAGGTAGGGTTGCACTCCATTCACCAGGGCCTGTCTTTCCTGAGGGGCCTCTCAGCCCTTCCCTCTTGGGACCCTCTTGCCTTTGCCTGTGCAGATTTCCTTCCCAGATGCTTTCCAAGAGGGAGAAAAGGGAAGACAGAAGCTCGATGCCCACTTACATATATCTGGGGCAGGGGGAGTCAGGGCCCCCCAAGTCCCACAATAACCCCAATGTTCACCTGCCCACCTCCCCTCAAGTCCTTTCCCCTCTGCTGCTGCTAATGCTGCTGCTGTTCTGCTGCTGCCGCCATTGCCTCAAGGCCCACCCTGGGGAGCCAAGCTGGGCACAGCCTCCCCACCCCACCAGACATGGAGTGGGGTCTGGCCAGTGTCCACAAAGTCTCTTTTGCTACTGGTCCCCCCAGTAGGGACCTTGCCTTCTTATTCTTCCTTCCTGCGTCTCCTGCCTCATCAGCCTGCCATGACCTATAGCCAACCCAGCCCCATGGGGAAGGGAAGAAGAGAGGGAGGATGGCTGAGAGAGATAGGAGACAGAGGGCAGAGGAGGGTAGTGGGTGGGCTAAGGGTGCTCTCTTATTTAAAGTGGTTGTGTATGATTCTTATACTAATTTATACAAAGATATTAAAACCCTTTCCATTAAGAAATTGTCCCCTTCCTGTAATTGTGTTTGCTGTGTTTGTAAAGATTGATCTGTGTAAATATGTCTTTATAATAAAGAGTTAAAAGCTGACAGTTTGCCCTTACTCTTGGAGGTCATGTTCAGAAGGGGCATTTCCCCCACACAGTGCCATGGTTGTCCCTGTGCCCACAGATTGCACATTCAGGGAGGTAAGTGCTTGCATCCCAAATTGGTTCTAGGTCAAGTGTCCTGAAACCGACTTGCCACAGGCTCACAAAAGCAATCTATGCATAATGGCCAGCTCACACAAAATTCAGCCTGCTTTTTAGTCTTTGGCATCTGTTTGGATGTCCTAATTTTTGTCTGGCAGCAGTGTCATTTAAAGGATTTTTTTTAAAAAAGCAATTTATTTAACATGCTGATTAAAAGTGGGATTTCTACTAAAAGTTTTGTATTGGTGGGTGTCTTCTATTTTATCTACTTTTGAACACTTTTGGGACTTTTTAGCCAGTTTGCCTTTCTTAAAAAAATGTTATGTTTTCAGCAATAAATACATTTGGTAATGACTTTGCTTGTATCATTTTATGTTTCACAAAGTGGAGTTGTAAGATGAATGAGATAGACTGAAAAATAAAATGCAAGGAGTTCAATAAAATTCCACCCCATCTGTCTCACTTCTTCATGCTTGTTGTCAAAATGTCAATATCTTCCAGAACAGAAAGGAACATTGGGTACATGCTAATTTGGTTAATAAACACATTAGGTGCACACAGACGTACACTATGCAGAGTAAAACCCAATGAGATGAAGATGGGAGTGATCAAAATGCATGCATTTGATAAATCTTGTGGGGGAATTCTATAGATTTGACAAGTATTTAGTGCCACAGTATATAACTTTAAAGAAAGTGCCTTCAGACAAAATTGCTAAAAAGTCATAAAACCAATAGGAGATAAAATAGAAGCCACCCATAAGCATATAAAACTATCTCACCATTGACAAAATGCTGCAAATTATGACATAGTGATTTAAAAATATGACATGTTTGAAGTGTTTTTTAGGAAAATTGGTGCAAAATGTCTCATTTTAAAATTACTAGTTTGACTTTTGGACAAACTAGTCATTGGAGGAACTGGGTTTAGGCAGAGGTTTTGGGTGGGCTGGTTTTACTCTGATTGGCCTGTTATTTCCCTAATCACCCTCAAAGCTCTAATTTCATGTGAAACCAAGAAAAAAAGGGGTGGGAGCAGGGCAGAACAATCTAATACTGACCCATAAGCATGCAGGCCTTTAACAGTTTACAGAGCTCTTGAAAAATCTTAACTCATCTTCCTAACAACTGAGCCAAAAACCTCACTATCAGATCCCAATTTTTAAAATATATATTTTTAATTTTTAGTTGTACATGGACACAAACCTTTATTTTATTTATTTATTTATATTTTATAGGATGCCAAGGATTGAACCCAGTGCCTCACATGTGCTAGACCAGTGCTCTACCACTGAACTACAATCCTAGACCCTTGGATCCCCATTTTACAGATGAGAAAACAGACTATGAAGGGAAGCAGCTGGTCCTAAGTCTCACAGCTTGCAAGTGAATTTTAAATCTAGTCTGCTAATTCTAAAATGAAAACTCTTTCTACAGTAGTAGAAAGGAAAGTCCCCTAATCATAGAGGAAAAAAAAAAAACTAAGTACAAGATGTGTTTTATTTTTTCAATAAGTGCAATAGAAATTTGGGGTACAGCTGGTGGGATTGCACATTGGTGCAGTTATTCTATAAAGTCATATGGAGATTCCTTAGAAAACTATGAATGGAACCACCATTTGACCCAGCTATCCCACTCCTTGGTCTATACCCAAAGGTCTTAAAAACAGCATACTACAGTGACACAGCCACATCAATGTTTATAGTAGCTCAATTCACAATAACTAAACTGTGGAACCAACCTAGATACCCTTCAGTAGATGAATGGATAAAGAAAATGTGGTATATATACACAATGGGATATTAGTCAGCATTAAAAGAGAATAAAATCATGGCATTTGAAAGTAAATGGATGGAGTTGGAGAATATCATGCTAAGCAGAATTAACCAATCCCCCAAAAAACAAAGGCCAAACGTTTTCTCTGATATGAGGATGCTGATCCATAATGCGGGGTGGCTAGGGAAAAATGGAGGAAATTTGGATTGGGCAGAGGGGAATGGGGAGAGGGTAGTGGGTGTAGGGGTGGGAAGGATGGTAGAATGAGATGTGCCCTATGTACATGTATGATTGCATGAATGGTGTGACTCTGCATTGTGCACAGCCAGAGAAATGAGAAGTTGTGCTTCATTTATGTACAGTGAGTTGAAATGCATTCTGCTGTCATGTATAACTAATTAGAACAAATAAAAAACTGGGGGTACAAGATAAGACAATGTGGCCTGATGACATTGGGGAAAGTAAGTGGAGTTTGAGCAGTTAATACGGGCCCCAGAAAATCCAGTAACGTTTGGCTAAGTTTGGTGGGAGGATGGTGGGCAGTGGGGGTTGGCACAAGGAAGCTGGATTAGCCACCACCAGGGTCCATGGGGCATATTTAGTCAACTAGATCCTAGTGGGTGGACACAAACAGGGGATGAGGGGAAGGAAAGCTGGCAGCCTTCTGTTAAGATAATTAGATATCAAACCAAAAGAAAGCAGGACATACAGGTGGGACCCTTTGGAGATATCTTGGATTGACCTAATATAAATACAATAAAATCTGAGCAGGGCTGTTTGTCAAAATGCGGAGTCTTATTTTTTTTTTTTTTAATTATTTTTATTTTGGTACTGGGAATTTAACCCAGGGGCACTTTACCACTGAGCTACATCCCAGCCCTTTTTATTTTGATGCAGGTTCTCATTAAGTTGCTTAAGGCCTCGCTAAATTGCTGAGGCTGGCCTCAAAATTGTGATCCTCTCAAGTTGCTGGGATTACAGGTGTGCACCACCATGCCTGGCTCAAAATGCTGAGCTTTAGAAAAAGAAAACGAAGTTCACTTAACTGATTGTTTCTGGCCAGGAGGTCTTGGACTGAGGTTAAAGGGTGAGGGCAGAGAACCTGAAAAACAACACTGCTTCAAATCCATCAGGAAATTAGGGAAGTTTCTGAAGTGACAGAGATTAGAGAGACACATGACTTTTCAGGAACCCAGGTGCGGTGTCAAATGAGCCGTAGATGCTTTGAAGCCCAACACTTCAGACTCTCCCATAAGCCCTGGTCTGGCTGACTTGGTAAGCCCAAATTGGGGCAAGGCTCCTCTTCCAAACCAAGGGAACCATGGGACCTGGCTTGAGTGGCCATTCTGAGGTGCTTATATAATTCCATTTTGTGGCCTAAAGGTTGTTCCACTGAAATTTCTCAATCCAAGGTTATTTTTTGACCAGAGTGAGCCTGTGCCAGCTAACTGCCAAAGAAAATGGTGAAGACTTAGTGCCTTCTCCTTCTGGCCCCAGAGGGCTGCCAACTCAGCCAGCATTTCTCTGGAACCCCCAAAGGAAAAAGTCTCTTCAGTGTGCTTTTGAAAATCCAGTTTGCCCTTTGTAGTGATCCATTCTTGGAGGGGATCCTGGCAAGGAACTCCCCCTATTGAGCCTTGAATTTTCAAATCAGGGGTCAGCAAACTTTTTCCTATTTCCATAAAATAGGAAAGATAGTAGTTCCTATTTTATGAGTCATTTAGGCTCTGTCCCAACTACTCAAGTCTGTTGTCATGTAAAAGCAACATAGACAATACATAAACCAATAGGCATGGCTGTGTTCCAACAAATCTTTATTTATCAAGACAGGCAGCAGACCATAGTTTGCCCAACTCTTTCTCAAACGAGGCATCAACAAGCCCTTCAATTCAGCCCTTGAACCCTTACTCGGGACCTGAGAGGAAGACTTACATTGTACAGCAAGGTCTTGAGTTAAGGGAATTTAATAAACTGGTAATGATTGGGCCTCTATGCCAGGATCTGACCATACTCAGACTAACAAAGGGCTTTCAGTGGAGAGGGAAGTCTGGAGTCAGACAAGGATTCAAATTCTGGTACATTTACTCATTTGTGTGACCGCGAAGCCAATGTCTTGACCTGGATAATTCTGCATTTTCTCTTTAGGCATGATGCTGCTACCAAGTTTGCTTTGCCATAGTCAGGACTGAACACCATAGTGCAAGTAAAGTGCTTGGCGTATAGCCCAGCCCATGGTACCAGCTCTCTAAGTGGAAGCCATTGTTATTTCTGCCAAACCCCACTCTAGTCCTGAGAAGCAGATGGGGTAAATTCTCAGGACAGGGCAAACAGGCTCAGGGAGGTGGAGTTGCTTGTTCAAATGAGCAAAGCTGCTAACTGGTGATTCAAGCTTCAGACCTGGGTCCAGTCTTGCCTTGGATTAGCCACCCTTCCCTGGCATGGAGTCTGCTTCCCCATACTGAATATGCCTTGGTCACTGGGAACTTGTAGTCTCTTAGACAACACATAAGGCTTCTCCAGGGACATATTAGGCCCACCTCATTCTCCCTTGAGGTAGCTTTTGCTTGGACAGCAGCCCAAGAGTCCTCTCTGGATGTGCTCATTATTAGTACTGTATCTGGGGACCCTGGTCTGGAACTGTGGAGCCAGGAGTCTGCTCCAGAAGATCTACAAGGTACTAGGGGTACCAGAAACCTGGGTTATAGTCCTGAATATGCTTCTACCAATAGTTTGCTTGGCAACTTGGCAAATTCTTTCCTTGTCCTCTGGACTTCAGCCTCCTCACCTTCCTAGGCCACCTTGGGGAGGTGGATGGGTGTGAAGTACATAATGATGAATAAGGCTTGTTGTGGTCCCAGAAATAGTGGGGGTCCCTCAGGTTGACCTCTGGAGGGAGTTCAGGGCCTGCCACAGGGGCCTGTGGGGAGTAATTCTAGGAGAAGAAATAGGCATTTGGCAGGAAAATGG